AGCAGCAGGCCAAGGTGACGGAGGCTGCGCCCAAGCAGCAGCAGGGCAAGGCGGCTGCCCCGGAGGCTGCGCCCAAGCAGCAGCAGGGCAAGGCGGCTGCCCCGGAGGCTGCGCCCAAGCAGCAGCAGGGCAAGACGGCTGCCCCGGAGGCTGCGCCCAAGCAGCAGCAGGGCAAGACGGCTGCTCCCAAGTCGGTTGCCTCTGATGCACCCAAAACAGCTGAGGCTCCTCAACAGATCAAGACTGAGCCCAAAAAGGTTGAAGCCAGTGAGGCACCTAAGCAGGCTGCTCCTGAGAAACCGGCAAAGCAGAAGCCTGATGAGGCCCCTAAATCAGCCAAACCAACTGCTGATACACCCTCAAAACCTGCTCCGATTGAGCCCATAGTTCAGCCCCCAACTCCCCGTAAACTTACTTTTGCAGAGGCAGTTGCAAAGCCAGCACCTGTTAAACCTGAGGCTGAGAAAATCAGCGCTGCTCCCTCTAATCAAGTCTTGTCTCCTAAGCCTGAGCCAACCTCAGCCAAGTTGGAGCCTGTCGTCAAGATCGACAATGGTATTCTGCTTTTTCTTCCTTTAATGCCGTCTGTTTTTCCAGCCCCTTGTTCTGGAACTTTCTAACGTGGTTAAATATGCCTTACACCACAGTCTAGTTTAGAGGGTTGATATTGTTAGCGGTATTTCGTTAGGGGTTTTGTTCTTAGTTTAGCAGAGTGCCATTCCATTGCCTGTTGGTTACTATAGTTGTATGTGCAGCGATTCCCGTTGGCGTGTTCAGCAAGGTCTAAGAGGAGTTTGGTTCTCAACAGAAGTGCTTAGATTGATTTGGGGTAGATCTCTATCTGTGCTACTTTTGTTGCAAAGTGCAAACCAACTTGTGGTGTTTAACCTTTTTAAAATAATTTTTTTTACAGCTTATTTCAAAACGGATTCAGATTGTTCTTTGTAAAACAATGTATTATTGGCTTCTGTAGGATCTGGCACAGAGTCGGACAGTGATGACTCGGTTCCTGAGCTGGAAGAACAGGACTCTGCACAGACACAAACACAACAAGCTCAGGTAAGGATGAAGTCCATCCTTTGGTTTAAATTGATCGCCCCATCTTGAGAGCATGTCTTTCTTCTGTGATGATTAACATAGTGACTTTCGTTCTTCTGAGATCACTGAAGCCACTCCTATGTCCTGAGAAGAACTGTTTTCCCATGTTTTTCCTTTTTCTAATTGTACACACTGTCCTAATCTGTGTAACTTTTACTCCTTATAGCTTGCAGCAGCTGCTGAGATAGACGAGGAGCCTGTAAGCAAAGCTAAACAGAGCCGCAGTGAAAAGAAGGCAAGAAAGGTAAGGAGTGTGTCTTTTTATTTAGCCGAATGCAAACAGGGACTTCATGATTTCAGCCACATCTGTAACACTGTTCCACATGTTTACAGGCAATGTCAAAGTTGGGTCTTAGGCAGGTAACGGGTGTCACCAGAGTCACCATTCGCAAGTCAAAGAACATCTTGTTCGTCATAACCAAACCAGACGTCTACAAGAGCCCTGCATCAGACACATACATCGTCTTTGGGGAAGCTAAGGTAACCTACCTGACAAGAGGCAAACTATTTTTTTTTATTTTTTTTTTTGTACTTGCATAGATTATATAAAATGTAAACAATGATTTGCACTATTATGAGCTTTGTCCATTATGTTCTCCTTCAATCATATTAAAATTAATGAAAATTATTTTAAGACTGGATATTTAAGATAACAAATATGCAATTTAACTTTTTTTTAAAAGTCACCTCGGCTTCAATGTTTGCGTAAAGCAAAGTTTCAGGGTTCTTGGTTCAAATGTAGATATAAATGTAATAACTAGATTTGAAATGGCATTGATTTTGGTCTGATCCACATGGAGATGAGATCAGATGTAACTGTAAAAGTATTCTCTGGTTTGTGGAGAGCATAAACAGTTTTTTTAAAAACAGGGTTCAAGAGTGAAAAGAAAAAAGAAAAATCAGATAATGCTGTTTTCATGATTTGTTGTGAATATGAGAGCTGCATGTCTTTTGACAATGTTGTAGCTCAACCTACTTCTGTAGCCACCCATGCCTTTTTTTTTTTACCGCCATGTTGCCATTTTCCTCTTGGCGGTCTGTATATACCCAGCGCTTTTGTCAGAGGTTTGGGTATCCTGTGCCAGTGTTGGAGGACCACCAAGAGGCCATGCGTCTGTACTACAGCATCTCCATTGGTGCTGTGTAAACACATGCAGAGGCAATTTTCGTCTTATCTAGAAACGCTTGCTCAGGTGAAACTGACAGATTAACACAACAGTGGCTGGAAGTGGGCTGCCATTCGACTGGCGTTTGACTGGGAAGGACCATTTTGAATGGCTGCTACTGTACTTCTGTGACATTTAAACTGTTCTTGCTGTTCTTCTTTGATTTTTTTTTATTTTTTTTTTATCTGCCATGTTTGTCCTGAAACATTGGTGCAGACCAATAAGTGAAGCCATACACTGCTGATGAGCTTGTCGTGCTGCTAACGGCAGAGGATTCTACACAAATGTTGCTGTTTGCAAGAAAATATTTAGACATCTGAAAAAGGAGGATGCTTTAAAAAAATTGTCGATTGATTATATTGATAAATAATTTCAGAAGTCATTAATGTTGTTGACCTGCGGCTGCAGTCGCACCATTTACGGATGCAGCTGATGGTGTCAAAAAGAGCATTAAACTCTACTCATCTTACGGTTTTATTTTTTTCCTGATTTTGTATTTCTGCGCCACAGATTGAAGATCTTTCTCAGCAAGCCCAGCTGGCTGCTGCAGAAAAGTTCAAGGTACAGGGAGAAGCTACAGCAAAGATCCAGGACAACACACAGACGCCGACAGTACAGGAGGAAAGCGAAGAGGAAGAGGCAAGTTGGAGTTTTGCACCAGAGAAACATTAAGCCATGTGATCCAAAAAGGGGAGAAACCTAACAACACTGTCATTTTATATCTAGGTCGATGAGACCGGAGTCGAGGTGAAGGACATCGAACTTGTAATGTCACAAGCCAACGTGTCGCGAGCGAAGGCTGTACGGGCCCTGAAAAACAACAATAACGACATTGTCAACGCTATTATGGTGAGAATTCAAACATGTTTATTTGTTAAAGGTGAAATCCATTAGTCATTCATCCAAGGTGAATTTCTGGTCCTACCTATTAATGACTCTTCAGTGATGATTTATCACAGTGACTTTCGTTCTTCTGAGTCTACTGAAGCTAACATTTCTGTCCTGAGAAGAGAGAACTGAGAAAAAAACAAAACAAACATGTTTGAAGCTTATACTAACCTGGTGTTTCTGTTGCTTTGCAGGAGTTGACAATGTAATGGGATCCAGTCTGCAGGATCGAAGAAAGGTTGCCGTTTAAATCTGAACTCGTTTATACGATTTATACCAAGATGGAAATAAAGTTGTGTCTTGATGAAATTAAAATCTGGTAATTGTTGATATTTTTGGGGGAAATGAGTGCTCTGCATTTTTTTATGTATGATGCCTGATGAGATGGACATTAAGGCCTTTATGCTCAGTGATCCTCGAAAGATTCTTAAATCTGACATTAAGATGTGGAAACACAGTTGCTAACATATTTCGAAAACTGACAGATTTTCAAAGGTATATCTTTTGAATAAAGATCAGTTTTTCTCTCTGCAGTGATATGGCCAAATTACTTGAACGCATTCAAATTTGCTTTTCAGAGTGAAAAGTATGCACAGTTGTAGTTAATATCTACAAATTAGAAAATAGTTATTTCACTGTTAAACTCATATTTGCCTTTATGTCTCTTGTTTACATTATAAAGACCAAAGGAGTTAATCTTCCCCCAGTGCATTAAGCCATAGGAATAAAAAATTGATGAAGGCTGGATAATATGGTTCCGTCACACAGCTCAATCCTATGATAGCCTGGCTTTTTTTTTTCTCACACTAGCTTTTATATGCTGGTGAAGACTCCTCTGGGTCACAGTCATTCCAAAAATTTATAAAATGTCCACAGTACTTGTTTCCAAGTTTGAAGATGTTTCGCTTCCCATCCAGGAAGCTTTTTCAATTAAAAATGTCAGAATTAGCTTAGAGTTTGAAGCTTTGAGTGGACCAAAAACAAAGCCTTTGTTTGGCTTAGAAAATATGCAACGTGAACCAGAAGAACCGTCCGCCCCTTAGGAATGGGGAGTCATTTGGGTTCTTTTTTAGATTTTATATGGTACAATTAAAAATGGAAGGAGACTGGAACAAGGTAACGGAAGAGGTGCTGACTCATCCAAAATATGCCAATTTGAAGCCAATTGTGTACGGAATCAATAATGTGTTTGTAAACGCTGTCTTTTATTGAGTCATTCAGAAATCAAATTCAAACCCCTTAGAATTTCAGAGTAAATCAATGCTCAGTCATAATTGCTTTGCTGTTGTACCTCTCAGAGGAAACCCTTTCGAGACTCGTCAAAAGCACAACAGGTAGGATCAGAGAGAGTCTTCATTAGTTTGGACCTTGGTTTGTATTTGGGGTCTAGATCGGTGTTTGATTTGTTGGCTCGCCACACCTGGCTTAAGGGGCTGATGGCCTCTGTTCCAACCTCTGTCACCTTAAAGAAAAACGTCCAGCAGAATCTGCCTCTGTTGGCAGCTTCGGTCTCGTGGGGAATAAGCCAGTAAATAAAAGCACAGGATAAAGTCGAGTTGATGGCTTCACCCCATGAAAGAAACATAATTGAATTTGATCAGATCCATTAGTTTGTTACTCAAACTATTTAGTGAAGGGTAGACACAAAATACAACATCCAAGCAACCTGCTGCTATCCAATACCTCACCTTTTGAAGCTGTTCTATGACTTTCTTTTGTTAATAGTGTGGGTGGTACCTGTTAGGATAATTATCATTGATTGAAAATTTGGCCTCAAAACAACGTCATATGTGTGGAGCACAGCCCATTAAATCCCCGGACTCCTGGTTAATAAGTTCAGGTTCATTGATCATTCCCATGATTTTTTACTAAAGTTGCTCATAGAAATGTGGCTCCTGCAGCCACCTGGAAACTTAACCTTACAGCAAAACAGACTTGAGGCATATTATCTTCTGATATCCAGCTTGAATTCCTTTTTTTACTTTCATGTCACATAAAACTATGTTAGAAGTGTAGCACCAAAGTAATCAGTGATTTGCCTAAATGTGCATTGTCTATAAGGATATAAAGTTTTGAAATCTGGTGTTCTTTGATTTTTTTTCTATTATTATTTAATTGGATAGCAACCTCAGCCTAAGGGAGCTAAAACAAAAAATAAACTCTGGAATTTTGCTTAAATGTTTTCGCTTATCCAAACAATAAAAAAAGAAAAAATATATATCTTCTGTAAATATTTGGATTATGCCACACATTTTAGTTATAGGTTTACGTCTCAAAAACTACCCAACAATCATCTTATTTTTGCGTTGAACTGTTTGCGTCACATAAAATTCACATAAAATACATTATTTTCCTGGTGTTCATGGTAAAACGGGTAATTTTAAAACGACCTCGTATTTCAAGAAGATTACATAGGCTTCAAAAATCTGTAACTGCTAAAAAATTATGGAGAAAGAAGCAGAAGGGAAGAGATCATTTATACTAGATTAAGAACTGGACATACCTACTTGAATAAGCTTTTGTTTGTACTAGGGAAGAGAAATAATGATATATGTGACGGTTGTGAAAGAAGAAAATGTGGATCATTTTTTATGGATTTAATTACATATGCAATTGAAAGAGAGAGGATGAGGAAAGTAATTGTGGAAAAAGGGAGAGAATGGAATATTAAGGAATTTTAGGGACAGCTGTGTAGGGAGGACACTTTAGTTATTAATAAAGCTTTTTTTTTTTTATATTACACAAAACAATATATAGTGGTTGGAACTATAGAGCTACACACTCATGTACAGTAGGTGGCGGTACGCACCTATAAATTGTTTGCAATCCGCCATATCTAACAAAGAAGAAGAACTACCGCCCTCCGTTTCCATGCCCCGCCCCCTCGCCTTACTGGCAGCCGTAGCTGAAAGCTCTAGAAACATCCAGCACGCTTTCCAGTGCGTTAGCCTTGCTATTCTCATTCCAGGATACGCAACATAATCCGGAGTACAGTACACCAGCTAGCAGCTTTTGCCCGGGTCGTGTTTTAACAGGAGCATCATTTCGATAATAATCACCGCTGTTCTTCCAACAGGGCTGCTCTATCTGCTGTAAAGAAGCCTAATTCCCACTGAGACATGTAAGTAATGGAGGAGGAACAGGGGGACGCAGCAGGAGGAAAGTGAGCTAGCTCGGTATCGATACCGTAACGTGCTTTTTGCAAAGGCGGGAGCTCTGGCCTTTTCTATAAACTGAGAGCTCGTTAACGTGAACTTAACAGTATTATATGGGTGTGAAAAGGCCTGTCCGTCCTCTAAAATTTGCGCAGTTTTCCCGCCATCTGCAGAGAAGTTAGTAGTTATTTTTTATTTTTTGCGTGGTCACCGCATGGTTTGCCAACAGTGAAGGCATTAGCCTCGTTAGCATTGCTAGATGAGCTCATTGAGCTTTCTGGAAGGCTCAGTCATTAGATGAGCCTCAGAGCAGTGAAAATATTCAGGATCTTTGCAGTAAATAGAAAAATTATGGTTTTAACAGCAAATACATGCCTATAACTTCTACTCTATTTCCAGATTTTTTTTTTTTAAGAAACTTTTCTGAAGAATAACTACACTATCTTGAAGTAGTTTACCCCCCATACCATCTTGTGTTATTTTTTTTGCAAGTGTTTAAGGCAGATTATCTGTCTTTCATATAAACATGTCTCTAACATAACAGTTGAAATCTGATATAGAGCTTTTGTTTATGCAATATTCTTTCGTATGTTTTATTTAGCATGGCAGGTGAGCCCAAAGTAGACCTAAGCATGGATTTTGGATAGAGGTCGAAACATTGAACTAGTTAAAGCAGAGCAACAGGACAGACTGGAATAGGCTGATTTCATTATCAAAGATCTTAACCAATAATACTTAGCTGTGTTGTTTGAAAAAGGATATTTAAAATCTGTTGTATTTGCAGAGACTCTACGAATGATTAATGAATCCGGCTTTCATTTCATGTACTCTGTGTACAGACATTAAGATGAACTGTATAAGCTTGCTAGAATGGAAAATAAACACGATTATGTCATTTTTATCAACCCAAAAACACAATGATAGTTTTCCTTATTAAAAAAACAAAGCAGTTGGTAACTGCTGGTGTATTATGAATAAAACAAATGACATTTTAATTGGACTGCTGCTTGGGCATGCACTGATGTTTCACTTTGCTACTCTTGTCAGTGAAGAGGCTGTAACCCGAGACTCTGACAGCCTGACACTAGTTTAGGTCGAGAACCATCTGTTGTTCCTACAGGCATTAATGGTAGAAAGGCTTGGTGTCATTGATAGAGGCAGTGTCTGTGATCACCTCTGTGATGCTCTTAAAAACTTTTCATTCATACAGAATGAAAGTTGTCCTCTCTATAGACCCCAGAAACATTAATAAATAATACAGGGCTGTGTATCATAGTGGACTGTGATACGGTTTTGTAATTAGATTGGATAAACCTGGTAATATTCATAATCTTTGTGTTTTTGTTTATCTTTCAGGCTTCCAGCAACAGCCAAGTGGTATGACAGGAGGGACTCTGTTTTTATAGAGTTCTGTGTGGCTGACAGCAAAGATGTGAAAGTTAACTTTGATAAAACAAAGTGTGGATTCAGGTATGAGTCCATATCTGGGTTTTTAATACACCATGCTTAAAATATTGTCCAAACTTCAACTTACTCCTTGCAAATTGTCTCCTCAGCTGCCTTTGTGGAACCGATAATGTCAAACACGAGAACCAAATAGAACTTTTTGAAGCCATCGATGAAAATGTAAGCTACAGCATCTTTTATTCAGTGGGTATTTTGAAATTCCAAGTGGGTTTCATGAAAATTATCTCTTTTTTCTTCTTTTCTCTCATTGCAGGAATCCAAACACAAACGCACAGATCGTTCAGTTTTGTGCTATCTACGAAAAGCACAGCCGGGAAAGGCGTGGCCAAGGCTCACAAAGGAGAAGGCTAAGGTCAGTCATATAGTGCTGTACAGTTATTTATCAAAAATAAATTCACAACACTATTACATCAATAATAAAATAAACAGTATATGTCATGGTCCTAAATTCTTTTGTATTCGTTTTCTATTTAATTGGGGAAATGAAACTATACAACTTTCCTGTTGTACTACTATATTGGCTTGAGATTTTAATTATAAACTTAGGTTATGGATAGATTTTCTACACATACAGGAGAATTTGCAGTTTAACAAAAAAAAAAAATTTAACCTTTCTGACAGAGTTTAACCTAAAGCAGAAAAGACATATTGACTCTGTGGTCAGAGCAGAAAATGAGAATAACCAAGTTTTGACATTAAAAAAAAATTTAAATGAAAGGAAAATAATTATGTTAAACTTAGTTATTATAGCTTAGCGGTGCTATGGTTTAATGATTATTACATCTTTTCCTTTTTTCTATTGCAATTTATTCAATAGAAATTTATTTTTTCCCAACCCAGCTGACTTTCAAAAAACTAACTCTTATCTAGTATAAAAAAGCCAGCATTGAGTTAACAGTGTTATATCTTGGCATCACTGACATTAAGTTTCATTGAGACTTGCCAAGCCAGACCTGCCTTTGAAATCCTGGGTATAATAAGGTTAGCTGGCAGGGCTCAGGTTGAAATGATGAGAACACCAGCTAAACTGTGTAATAATCCCATTCTGGTCTGTTTACAGTTGAGTTGGCTCAGTGTGGACTTCAACAACTGGAAAGACTGGGAGGACGACTCGGACGAGGAGATGGGCAACTTTGATCAATTCTCAGATGTAAGAGCTTTGACTTGATTATACCTGTTATTTTTCGCAGTTGGTTTTATCCCCTAATTTAGGCTTTGTGGTTGAACCTAAATAAATAAGATTAGCATTTAGAATTAGTTTTTATTCCAGCAGTTCAGTTTACATACAGGAACTCATCTATGTTTACTTAACATTAGATTTAAAGCATAGCTTTAGTGTAAACTCAAAAACACTTTCTTGCAAAATTTGAATACCCAATAAAAAGACAGAAAAGTGAACAAAAGTTTTTTATTTGTATTTTATTAGTGTAAAATAGGGATAATAACTTCTGTTTAATGCTTTGAATCAATGGTTCATTAGATTAACATTTGTGTCATCCGGTTGACTAACGTCCACTTTGAAGGAATTTCTCAGCGCTGCAGTGTTGCCCCCGTTCACTAGAGGGTGCTGCTGTTCATTTTTAAGCAGAGCCTCACTGGTATTTGTAAGAGAAAATGTCAGGGCAGAAGCGTGAAGAGATTGTCCAGTCTAACATTAATGTTTAATTGCGACAAGGACCCAAATGCACATTATGTGGTTCTGTTTGTAAATAAAGGCTCTTGATAAACTCCCTAAGTTATCACCTAAATAGCCTCCATTTAGCCGTGCTGCGCGGTGTAGCAGCATAAAAACTCTAAAGTGCTCCAAAAGAGGGGAAGTGATCATGGAGAAGGGGAAGACATTAGACAAAACATCTGAAACATTATAGAGACAAGCCAGCAACAAACATGTTAGGTTGGGAAGGCTTTGTGATGATGTGCTTCATGGAGCCACGTTTTAAATTTAGTCCTTGAGCAACTAGAGGCACCGGTTTAGAAGTGTCGTCCAGCACTGTTGGATTACACTACCAGAGAGCTGTATGACCATTACTGTCCACTTCATTAAAACAAAGCCTAGCAGGGTCTGAGAGTGACAAACTCTAATAGTTTTACATCTTTGTACATTATATGTATCATATGTTTTATACGTTCCTTTTTCTCTAGTAACCTGATAGGTTCCTGTTTTAACTTCTATATTCGAAAAAATTGTGATGGCTGTGTTACTAAAAAATAAAATATTCAGTCCTCATGTTATAAGATTCTCTTGATAAAAGTTAAAGCTCAGATGTTCAAGAAAATGGCTGCTTGTCAATTAATTAAGAGGTCAGTCACCTTCTAAATTAATTAATTAGTTGGTAACCAGTATACATGGATGGGGTACTTGATGAAGACCAGGTTTCTTTAATAGCACCCTATATAATTTCGTTTTATATTATTATTATTATTATTATTATAATATGGGCTATTATCTTGAGTTAGGAGCTTTGGCTCAAAAACTATTTAATACTGAATGTTGTATTGATTTGAATGTTGCAGATGATGAACAACATGGGAGGAGACGATGGCATGCCTGATCTAGATGGTGCAAATGAGGTAAGGTTTTTTTTTTGTTTTTTTTTCCACTTTGCGCTTCTTTGTAATCTTTAGATTTTCTATCTTAAGTAAAACAAAATAAATAACTTAACAAATGTTTCTACACAGGCTCAATAATTGCGGTATTTGGACTTGGTTATTATTTTTTTCTTATCAAGTTAATCAAAGGTTCTGTAATTGATTAATTGACATGCCATTTAATAACAAAAAAATAAAATTTTCAATAAAAAACAAACAAAAAAAATGTGTTCCCAAATTATCAAATAAACACATCAGTACAGCAACACAAATATTTATTTTTATCAGTTTGAGATACTACCTTTTCCATTTATATTCCAGTGAATATGGCTAAATAAAAAAATGACAACATGATATACAATATTGCCTTTAATAGTATTGCATTTGCTATTAAAAGAAAAAAGTTAGTATAATTTCTAATCTAGTTCTTGGACAGTAGAGCTCTGTGTTAAGCGTTGCCTTTTTAAGAGCTTAACATTGTCTTTTCAGTGTGGAACATAGTGCAATTAAAATGCAGATACATGTGATGCTTCTTGTTTTTAAGCTAGCTACTAACATAAATGACTCGTTTTTTTTAATCAGGTAGGTAAGGTGGCTTTACTATGAGGAATCCTTTTTTTACTCCTTCCTGATTGCCAGCGCCAGTAAACATTGTGGGTTTGACTGAGTGTGCTTTGCTAGTCATGGTTTTAATGTAAAAAAAAGTCCCATACCTGACTTAGCCCGGCCCTGGATTTTAATATGCATAGAAAAATACAATTAAAGGCAGTCATTTTGTTTAAAAATCTATATTATTAATCACTCAAAATAAAACACACCTTTGAACAAATGCATACATTAATCCTACATTTCCTGCCCTAAACAATAGTGTTGGATATCTTAAAAAAGAAAAACAATTTGAAAACATTTTGTTTCAATAATCCCACTAAAGAGATTGACCTACTAATGCAGCGGTCTTAAAATGTTATAATCTGGGAAGACATTTGGACTAAAAGTTTGCAGGAGTGAAATAATAAACTAATCATTCAGATTGTTGGTAGTAAGGTTGAGGACACTGTTTGCCGACTAAACATAATTGTAAATTTTTGTTGTAAATTTTAAATGTATACACTCACAATGAGGCAGGAAATCCAGAAGATTCGAATTAAGTCTTTTAATCCGATCTTTCCCCCCTTTCTTTTGTCTGTAAATTTTAGGAAGAATCTTCTGAAGATAGCGACGATGAAAGTAAGTATTCATAAATTGTACAGCTGGAGCCATAATTTCCAATGAATGGACTTAATTATGCCTTTGTTTTTCACTTTCAGAAATGCCCGACTTGGAGTAGAAGACGTTAAAACTTTGTAAAGAAGATAGAAGAACGGGGATTGGGGGGGATCTTAACAAATGTATATCTTGAAACCGAAGGCAGTGAAACAGCTGTACATATGAGTCCGTAGCCATATTTAAATCCATAGCTTCAGCTCCAAGCTCTTCGCCCAGTCAGTCCAACTAAGCTTGGTATTGTACAGAGCAGCTATCTCCACGTCCATTCGCCGTACTGCATCTTTTTTGGGGTATCTTGTTTTAATAGTAAATATTACAACTAAGCAAACATTTTATCTGTTGGGGAACAACTGTCATTTTATCCAACTGAGTAAAATGTGTTAGGAGAGATGAATTTTTTTTTCTTTCCCCGAATGAATAGTTTGAAAAAGATCAGACCTTCCTACCGGTTATGTTGTGGTATTAAAGGTAGTCGACCAGTGTAGTGTATCTCATGATTTTAAGGAGTAGATGCATCGACTGATTGGGTCCGCTGAAGCCTTCCATGTGCTGTAATTTAGATATCCAGGAAGTCAGTACCTGTATCTGTAGCTTTACCTTGCGGCTTACATGTTTCCTTTTTTCACTTCTCGTTAAATGTTTGTATAACGGGATCAATCTGAAATCTTTGCAAGATGACATTCATTTCTCCAGTTGTCACCTCCTGCACAAACGGGTTGAAATCTATTATTTTTGGTGATTTAACAGCTCCTCTCTTATACTGTTGCCTAACGTGCAGATATTTCTGATAAGAGGGAACTTTTTTTTTTTTTTTTCTTGGACTGATAAAAAGAGTTGGAACTTGGTTAAGCCTCAGAATTGTGTGGTCTGTTGCTCTTCTACAGTTTTGTTCTTTTAACCCGTACTCCTTGCTGTTTTGGACATTTTTGGAACTAAAGTGTAATGACCAAATCATATTTGCACTGTTTAAGGGGGAGGCAAGTACTATTCAATTACAGTGAAAATGTTTTTGTTTTTTTACTGTCTACATCTTTCTAATAAACAGTTTAAGAATCAATGGGTTCAATGGGTTATTGTTTGTGTCTTTGGTTAGTTTTAGATTTGGAAGACCAATATGAGCATTGGCAAGATATTAATACTTTGTCAAAGAATCAAAAAGCTACAGGTGTGAATTTGAGCCTTTTGTACTAGTATTATGTCTTTATGATAACTTCCAATTGCTTTTAGTGTTCTTGCACTGAAAAAAAAATATCGCAACCATTTTTGGCATTTCATGTTAGCAGGGTAGGACACAGAACAATTGTGTTAAAGTAACTAAATATGAGTAAGTGAATGCCAAAAGCAGTTGCATTTTTTTTTCAGTGGACCAAAGTTGTCTAAAGTATAATAAGGATACATGGTTTAACTTTTTGAAATCACAAACATGACTTGAGCCCTTTTTTAGAAATCATTGGGGGGTCAGCTAATAGAGTAAATCCCAGTCAATTAACAGAATATGAAACTGATGGACAGATTATAAAGTTTGGCCTACATCCAGTAAAATATAAATTGAAGGAAATAAGAAGTTTTTCAAGAGATTTGGAACTAATAGTATATGTAGAATGCATGTTTTTTTTTTGTGTGTGTTTTTTTTTTTAAGGGAGGAAATAAAAGGTTGCTGCACTAAATGGTCCTTGCTAAAAATGCTTAAATGACTGATTGATAGGAAAACAGCAGGTCAGAAACCCGATCGATGGCTCTCAGTTGGTAGCTGGACTGAAAGAGGTCATAAGAAATGTAAAAATATATATATATATATATATATTGAAAAGGAAATCAAACTCAACTGGTGCATGGTAAGATGTTTGAATCCCCTCAGTGTTCCATAAAGGTCCTCCAGGATGGAGAGGGAAGTTTCACTGACTGGAAGATAAGTTAAGGCTAGAGAGTAGATTACAGGTTTATGGATTGACTAGGGTACTGAAATATACAGGCTGAGATTTGATAGGATGTCAAAGTCCTTACATAGTTCATATTTGGAATTTCTTTAAATCTTAAAACAGGTCCTCCATTCAGTCTGATATTAAGTCATTTTGCATGACATGACATTGTGAATTGATAAAGCTTCCTGGATGGGAAGCAAAACGTCCAGTGAATTGTTTTTTTTTTTACTTTTTTGGAATGACTATGACCTGGATTACTGAGAATCTTCACCAGCTAATTTGCAAAGAAAAGGCAAATATGTGCAAATATTTAAAGCCGAAGGGTGGTTCTGCACAAACTTCACTCAAAGAGGTTTAATCCAAATGTACTCCACATTTTCAAGGTTTTTATTTGCACATGAAAATGAAGAAACCTGAACTTTTTTCCTTCCACTTCAAAAATGACGCCACACCTCGTTGTGATACATAACATAAAATTCCAATAATTCCGTTTAATTGAATTTATTTAATTAATTGAATCCATTACAGTTTGTAATCTTGTGGGGATTTTATTTTGTACCCTTAAAGTTGTGTTGAAATAATTTCAGGACCTAATAAAGATTGAAATCTTTTTCCAGGTAAACATCTACAACTTACTGAAATGGTGCTTTACTTTTCATTTTGGTTTACTTCTACAAAGAAAACACATTAGAATGCAAAACAACCTCTTGAAATATAACTTTGTCATTGAACACAATATTTTTTTAATTACAACAGGCTAATTAACTGATGTTGTTTTTCCTCACCTCAATGAACGGGTCGGCGCTAGGACCCAGATGGCACGGGGAATTTTAAGGCCTAGAAAATGATATTAGCATACTTCCTCTTTAGGCCCGATTTCCTCACAGATTGCCACTTAAGACAAAATTGTGAAAAGATGCAATGATGCAGCTTCCTGTTTCTACACATTAAAATAAAAGTGGCTGATTTGATGTTTAAAAAATAAATAAATATTAAACTTTTCTTTTGAACTGCAAGTACTTTGAGCATTCTATAACCTTTAATTTGGATGAAATGAATGACCCACCAATACATGTTGATGCTTAGTAGGTAGAAATAATAATTTTCCCGGTTAATATGCATTTATATTATTTTTGGCTAAAGCAGATTTTTTTTTTTATAAAGCAATATAATTGCTTGCTTTTATTTAAATATATTTGTCTCTGTTTTTTTTCGCTTTATTTCCCTGCTCTCTGTGTACAAACGCTTTTTGAACTTTGTTAGAATACTTGAACCGGATGTGCGCGCGCCCCATTGTCGGGACTTGAACGCACTCCAGCCTCACTCCGTTCTGTGATCATGGCTGCACCGGACCTCAACAGCCATGTTTGCTAATTTAAAACCCAAAGGTTAGGGAATAGTTGTTTATAATTTATCGCTGTGTCATCTTCACTTACGCGGACACGTTAACTGGAGGGGGGTTTAGAGCCGTCTGCGCTTCGGAACCCAAGGAGAGAAAAGGTTGGCCTTTTTTTCACTGGGATATCGGTGAAACTTTGGATGGTGGCGGTGTAGGTGGATGATGCTGTGCACAAATTGTCTGTGTGCGTAAACAATGTAACTTCATCTGGCTGCTAGCTAACGTTAGCCCGTCATTAAAAGGCAGTACGCTGACGTTAATTAATCCGAGAGTCCCCCTTTTTTGTGAGTTCGTCGTTTACATGTGTATATTTTTAACAAACCGGCTTGAATCTTGTCTGCATTCGCCTCGGGATAGACCAGCGTGGTTGGGGTACCTGCTAACGTTGCAGCCTACTTACTCCGGATAAGGATGCTATTAGTTAGCTTTATCTGTTAGCTTTGTTCTTTTGTGATGATGTAGCTAAATAACCTTGGGGGGTGCTGTGTTGATATTCTCAACACTGCATTTTGGGGTGAAAAAGTTGAAGGGACCCGCTCGCGCTTTAATACTACATTAATAGATGGAATGGCTGTCGGAGTGGCAGCGGGTTAAAGTAGTGGCTGTTTCATTTACGGGCGCTAAGCTAACGCGGCGCTCGCTGTTGCAACGGCCTCGTTGAATTAGGAAATCAAGATCCCGGAGGACTATCGAAAACCGGTAAAACAGTGACCGATGTCGTTAAAGGCTCTCTAAAAACATCACTACATTGTTCATTTATCCCCTCGCACCCACACTCTCCTCTCTTGTCTTACTGCCTCTGTTTCTACTGTTAATTATGATTATTTTTTAATCTCTACCCGTATTAGCAGCGGTAATGATAAGCTTTACCGTAATATTCCTCTCTGGGGCCTGGCATCTGCTGCTGCTGCGACATTTTAACGGCTGGTTCCAAATCACACCAGATGGACTAACACGATTAGATCAAACATCACTAAAATGGAATATTTTTGAGTTTCATACATTTTTGCGCCGTGTGTTGATTTGTATTTATGCTTGAATTGTTTGTGCAGATGGACTCAAATAATCATTTTAACTATGGCACCTCAACCAACTCAGGACTGAAACTCTCCTCAGGGGATTCTCTCTACACTAACGGGTCCTCCATGAGTTTTCCCCAGCAGGGGAAGAGTGAGTATTTGGTCTTTTTTTTTTTAATCTTTTTTTTTTTTCTGTGTACCAAAACCTTATACACTAATGATGCTTCCTGCATAATCTAACCTGGCTTTACCAGAACCAGGCTGTACTACTTTGATTGGCACCAATATGCCGGGCGCTCATTTTTAGGTACTCTTAAGTTGTGATTTTTCTGTCCACTAAAATCGTGTCAAATAGATCTGTAGATAGAGGCCGCAGCCATCAGCGAATGCTGGTTTTGATGCTCTTTAGTATTTCATTAAATGATGCTGTCTGCTATGCAACAAACTGCAAAGTTTTTATTAGCTTTTTATTAAAACCTAGGTCAAATGTGTCATTGCTTTGTCCGCAATGGGATACCTGGACCAATCATGTTACCTGTTGCCACCTTGGACACTTTTCCCTAAAGAGCTTCTTCACCCAATTTTCTGAACCATCATATTTGGGCTTTTGTCAGCTTCCATCAGCCCATATCTCAGACATTAATTTGAACCCTTTTTAGGGAACTCAGTGAAATACTTTGAAAATCCAAGTTTCAAGCCAATAGTGTTATTGGAATCCAGGACAAGACCTTGTTACCTTTGTAACATTAAAAATATTGATGTTTTGATGGCAAAAATTAATGTCAATGTAATAACAAGAAACACCAACTTGCCCGAATATTTTAAGAAAAATAACAAAAGTGCTTCTATAAGAAATACATGAAAAACACTCTGAGAGTGAAAGAAATGCATTTTTTTGG